GGGTGTCCCCCCCCCCCAGCCCTGGGTGCACCTGCAGCCTGACAGGTGGCTGTGGAGGCAGGTGGTATCACCCTGGGGCTGGGGGAAAGGGCTGGGTTTGGAGGGGTTTGCCTCTGGGTGGGGGGGTTTCTCCAGGGAGGGGAAGCTGAGAGGATCACAGTCCCTGCCTGACCACTTTGGTCCCCCAGGTTGGGTTTTGGGTGCTCTCTTGCAACCCCCAGGGTGGTGGCTTTGCTCTGTGGTGCTGGGGAAAGCATGGGGCTGTCCCTTCACCTCCCGAAAACAAGGGCAACCCTTTCTGCCAGGGGAGATGCTACAAGCTCACCACAGCCCCTCAGGGCAGTTTTTGGCTGCCCCCCCATAACTTATCGCCTTGGGAAACTGCTTACCGAGCCCAGCCAGCAAAGTGGGGAGCAGCGGGGGCGGCCCCAGGGGAGACCATCGGCCCACAAATGCAGTGAGGAAACCCCCTCCTCGCAGGGCACCTAGATGGGCACAGTAACCTCTCCTACCACTCCCCCAGCACCCTAGAACACCTGGAGATGGGGTGGGGGGAGAAGGCGGCCAGTGCCAAATCTCAGCATCTCCCCAGCATGCCTGTGGACCAAAGCAATCCTGACACTAAGCAAAGGAAAGGAAGCCTGATCAAAGCAAAATGGTATTATTTTCCTCTATTTTTTTTTTTAATTCTTTCCTTAAGTGTGAACACCATCTGGCTCCCCCAACTCTGTCAGCGCTTCCAGTCCCCAGGCAGCTTCACTCCTCCTAATTACTGTCATTAGACAGTGGGTAGCGATTAGAGAGGGATGCTGATGAGCGGGATCAGAAAGGCCATGGTCCCCTGACAGCCTGGCACAGGGGCCCGGGTGGCCTCTTCTTCCCAGACTGGGGCCTTTTGCAGCTGGGGAGCTTGGCGGGTAGTGTGGTGATTTCTTTTTTGGTAGAGGATGACAGGGAAGGGAGGTGCAGGCTGGCAGGTCCAAGTCCTGGGGCTGGTAGAGGTGCTCAGTGCTGCTGGGGGAAGGAGCACAGCAGAGCTCGCTGCATCCTGCTCTGCTTCTGGTAGTCCCAGCACTCCATGCTTGTCCTGCCCACAGGTGTCCAGCCACAAGCAGCCATTTCTCTCGGGCAGCCCAAAAGCCATGGTGATGGACTGCATAGCTGGACAGAGTCAGACTCAGTTGTTACCCTTCTGTCTGGTGAAAGCAGGGCTGGCCATCAACCTGCCTGGCCCTCCCCAGCTCCCCTTGCTGCATTTTGGCATTTACCCTCCCATGCAGCTCCCCTGTAGTGATGCAGGCCAGCGTGCATTGTCAGTGCCACCTCATGGCAGATGCTCCAGGGCTGCTGGCCCCTCATGGTCACCCATAGCCTTCCACGGGTGTTCCCTGGGGATCTCAGGGGCTCCCACATGTCCCTCTGCAGTGGCTGGCAGTGGGAAGCAGGTGGTGGGGAAGGGTCCCATGGAGTGCAATGAGGTCCATGCCTCATGAGTGGGTGATGGGATGTCCATGCAGCAAGTAGGGGGATCAGAGCCTTCACCCAGAAATGAGTGACCCCTGTTGGATGTTGGCCATCGGAGTACTGCTTTGTGCATGAGATAAAATGGTACTCACCTTACTCTGCCTACCTTGCTTGTTCTGTCAAGGTCCAGCACTCATAGAAAGCCCCTAGAGAGACAAGACAGGTCTGTGGGATGTCTGTGGGGAGTGCTTTGGGCTGGAACAGCTGGGCACATGGATGAAGTATCAGACTAAACTGGTGGGTGAACCAGCAACAGGAGGAGAGAGGAGAAAGTGAGGGGGAAAGACCCAGACAGGGACGCTGGCAGAGGAAAGCCGAGCACTTTGGCGGCTGGGGAGGCTGTGGGATTGAGGAGGGTTTGGCAGACACGACTGATGGCTTCAGGAGAAGACTAGGGTACCCCTGTTGCTTCCTCTCTCTGTGCCACCATGGTCTGTTGGCCACCCAGACCTTTAGGACCAGGGATGAAAGCCACCCACCAATTGCTAGGGGCACCAAGGCTTCTGTACTTTACCGAAAACTTGGTTGGTGGGACTTGCAGAAGCTCAAATACCACCATGACTTCTTTCACAGGGGGGTGGGTGGGTTGAAATTGGTAGGGACACGTCTGAGGTGGTTTTGCAGTGAGGAGAGTTTCAGCCTCAGCTCCTTCCTCCTGCCTTGGGGTTTCCTCAGACTTTCCCCTGGCTCTCTCCGAAACCCCGCACCCTTGTGGCCAGGTAAAGCCTGGTTTCCCCGGCCTTTCTAGGCAGTTGTGCGGGCAGTGGGCTGAGGAGGAAGCACAGCTCCTGCCTCACAGGGGGAAGTGAGAAACTGATGTGGAAAGTCAAAGATGGGCAACACCCCGCCCCCGAAAAACCACTCGCCCCGCTCTCCATCCCATCAGGGTGGCTAAGGAGGGAATGGAGGTGGCCAAGCTTGGCTGGTCCCTGACTATGCTGGTGAAGTCAGTGCAGAGGGAACCTCTCCAGATCAAGGCCCTGTAGTATCCTCTGAGACCACCGTGGCAGAGACTCCTGAAACCAGGGCAACAGGGACTTCACACAGACCCCTGAGCGTGCGCTGGCAACAGGTTCACTTTATTTTTTCATTTTTACAGCCATATTTTTTGGTCTCCCTCTGCTCTCCATGCAGACAAGATGGACAGTCCCCTGCCCTGGACATAAGGATGGAGGGAGAAGCGTACACAGAGGGGGGTCACCTCCAGGCCCAGGCAGGCTGGGCAGGGGGGAAGCATTGCCCCACCACGCTGGCACTCGGGCAGGCGGTAGGCACAGAAGACATCCACATGCCATAAGAGAGTGGCTCGGAGGGGCACTCCGCAGCTGAGGAATCCAATGTGGATTGAAATGCTGCTTCTGTGAACTGCGGATGCTGGTGGTGTCCCGTATAGGAGACGCCTGGCTGAAACTCTAGCAGAAATGAGAACAGAAGCCCTTACCTGAGCAGACAAAAAGGGCTTTTTCAAGAGGATTTGTAAGGGAGTTTCTTTTTCAAATAGCCACGCTGGTTAGGGTTGAGCTGTGGTGGTCACCGATGGGAGAGTGGGAGAGGAGCCTGACAGTCCTGCTCCCTGTCTGTCTCCCATTAAGCAAGTTGCTCTGCCTCCCATAAGCAGTCCTTCTTCCAGTGCCAAAATGTCCTCTGGCCTGACTTCAGCTCATTTCCCCACTCCAGATGTACAAAGATTGCTCAAAGTCACTTCATAGGTCCTGGTGTGGAGCACAGGGATGAAAAGTTGCCGAATTCGTGCTGTGGGGATGCCCCTCCTTTGACGGGCAGTACGGCAGCTGTGGAGAACTGGGAGCCCAGCGCTCGGGCAGAGGATCACCTCTGTTATTAGAGGGACCAGTGGGTGATTCTACCTTGGTGGCCTGCTGACACTTGATGGCAATGCTCCCATACCTTCTTTGGCCACCACTGCTCAGTCCCCAGAGCCTCCTGGGCAAGGAGGCCACCACCTCTCCCAGGCACTTTTAAGTGCCTGACCACTTGCTCTGGGGCCAGCAGAGTTTCTCACCCAAGCTGTTGCCCAGGCTCTGTTCAGCCAGGAGGACCAGCCGCTGTAATTACTTGGAAACAGCAATCCCACTCTAACGAGTTTGTTTCCAGAGCAGAGCCCTTCCTCCACAGTAAAGCCACTTGCAGGCGGGTGAGCAAGACCATCTACAGAGAGATGCCTTGGACCAGCACTGCCGGCAAGCTTTGGCACACAGGCAGAGCCTCAAAGGCACTCACATAAATTAAGTCATCCCGCCTACGCTCGCATCACTCCCTGCCTGGTTTTGCGCGATGTGGAAGCATCCATCACTGGGAGCCCTGTCATCGCAAGTGACACGTGGTATTTCTGCAGCCACAGTGAGCTGAAGTGACGGTTGTCTGGGGCCATAATGACAAGCTCATGGAGCTCCTCTAGACCAGCAGTCTCCATTGCCTGCCCCTGGTCCTCCCTGACTTCAGCGATTGTAGGTCAGAGCAAAGACAGCTTTTTTTCCCCTCTTCCCTCCCTTGCTCCCTGCCTAAGATAAACTTGCTTCCCCTCCTCAGGGTACCCGGCTGCAGAGGGGGTTCCCATGAGTGCCAGTGCATGCCTGCCACGGCGTGAGAGCCCCAGAGAGAGGAGAGACCTGGATGTTATAGTGAGCAGACGAGGGGGAGGCAGGACCGTGAATGGAGCAGATGCTGGATGCGCCTTGCTCTGCATGGCCGCAAGCCTCCTTTTATTGAGGTCAGTAGCAAAAATTGAGCTAATGGCAGCAGTGTGGGACTTGATCCTAAGGTAACTCCCTGCTTTCCTCTCCATCTTCCTTTCCCCACCTCTTTCTGCTATTCAAGTCCCAAGTCCCCAGGAATTGCCCATCCAGCAGCAAACCTATCCTGGGTAGTCCCACAAATGGCACAGCAGTCCCCACCATGTTCTGTCCTCGCTGGCCATGTCTCCTCTGTCTCTTCCCTATGGCACGGCTGCAGCAGCTGTGGGTAGTTTGACGTAACTCGGTGTGATCCGTTTTGGCTTCTTCCAGTGCTTACAAGTGTAACTTGGGACTCAGCACAAATGGAAAAGTGGAAAAGGACCTAAGATCCTAGAAGGGTGCTCTTGCTCGAGGCAAAACCCAGTCTTCAGATAGCTCACATCCATCCAAGCTGGCCCCAGGGACGGGCTCTGAGCATCCACAGGGAGCAGCTGGAATGCTCCAGCCCCATTCCCCTTGCCCTCAGGCTCTCTCCTCGCTGGAGCAGTTCTGGGTGGTTTTGGTGGTGACCAGGGCTGCAGCCCCCAGCTCGGTGGCGGGCAGTGGGAAGCCGTGGTTGCACTCCTCACGCCGGAGGTACATGTCGGAGAGCAGGACGATGTCGCCGTCAGCATTGCCCCGGCAACATGGCTTCCACTTCGCCTCAGCTTTCCCAGGTGGGCCCGGCATCTGCAGGCCTCCATTGAGATGGGGGCATGGGGCCAGAGCCAGTTGGGTCTCTCCCTCCAGCATGGCAGGGTCCTGGCATCCCAGGTTGGGCAGGGCAGTGGCAGCATCCACATTTGCTGGGAGAGGACAAAAAAAGAGGGTTATGGGGTTCACAAAGTGAAGCCAGGCAGGTCCTGGGGAGAGGGTCCTGGGGACACATGGGGGAGGAAGATGGGGCTGGAGAAGGAGGAGCCTACAAGGTCTCCAGCACATCTCTCCTGCTGCAGAGCTCCTTCTGCTTACAACCAATGGAGTTTCCTCCCCTCCTCCCTGAAAAACAGCAGGGAAAGGCAGAAACTCACACTTGCACTTCGAGCCCTCTTGCTAAACCCTGCTGGCGGCAGAGCAGCCCAGCCCTCAGTGGCTTCGCCCTCCCCGACTGCCTCTCACTTAAAAATAGACTTGTTTACACGCTTCGAATGCGGGCTCGTGCCACCAACCCTGAGATCCCTGTGACTTCCCACACATCCAGCGCTGCGGCGGTGGTCTTGCACCCAGGGGGGACAGGGACCAGGGCATGTGGCAGGGAAGCATCTGAGGGATGCCTCCTCTCCATCACAGCCAGATCTCTCTCGCCACTGGATTTCTCCCTCCTCTTTCGTTCTTGGTATTTTTCCCGGGCGTGTGCGTCACGGGCTGTCACAGCCGCACTCGGTTTAGCGAGAAGCCCCAGGTAATGTTGTTCCCCATAAGTGTGAGTCACCACTGGAGGCGTGCAGGCAAGTTGGGGTGTGAGGACAGGCTGCCCCCGGCCCCACTGCCCCCCTGAGGGCACCCACCCAGGCAGTGGTGGGTGGCAGCATCACCCCTCATATGGGTCCCATAGGGCCATACCCGCTACGTGGGGATAGGGAGCAGTGAAGCCACCCCAGATCATTTCTGAGAAGAGTGGCCAGGGTTGAGTCAGAGCCAGGGCAGGGGTCCGCATGGGAGGAAATGGCTCCCTGGTCCCTGGCTGATGCCTCAACAAGGTGGGTCACCTCACTCCGTCCTGGAGATACCCCACCAGCAAAGGCTCAGCCCCATCCCTCACCCCCGGCCCTATTTTTGATGCCTTTGGAGACGACCTCAGGTAGTGCTGCAGTGTCCTGCCAACAAGGGTGGCCATCACACCACTGAGGTCCTTGGGGCATGCATCTGAGGGTGCCGGACATCCCAAACAGCAATGCCAGGCTGGGTGGTCAACACAGGACCCCCATGTGCAGTGCTGCAGGAAGAGGCTCCCTCTGAAGCCTCCACTCCATCCATGGCCCTCTGGCTACTGGAGGAGAGGGAGACGCAACTCGCCAGTGCTCTGTACGTGTCCCCTGTGGAGAGGGGATGGGGCAGCGGGTGCTTTAAGCAAACAAAGGCACAGGGAGACCTGACAAAGGGAGGGACAGTTCAGCGGGGTCGCACTGGAAGCCAGGTGCAGGCGTGGGTTCCCAGGGGACACAGGACATCATAACTCAGGGGGTGGCTCAGCTGCCCCAAAATACCCCAGGGTGCCTGGGGAACCCATGCTGAGGTAGAGGAGCCAGTCTTGACAAGGATGTGCCTTGAGAGAGGCAGCAGCAAGTGATTCCCTGTGCCCCGTGAGCTGTGGGGTGCTGTGACATGGAGAGCAAGAGGTCTCCTACCTTCATCCTCCTTGTCCGCCGCCTTCCTCTTCCTCCTCCACTTCCCCACCTTGCAGGCCAGGAAGCCCAAGAGAGTAGCCAGAATCAAGATGAACCCCACCACCGCCGGGACCCCGAAGATCAGGAGGGTGCTGGGCAGGTCCGCCGAGGGGAGGGTGGGCGCCAGGGCAGAGGTGGGCACCGCACGAGCGGGCTCTGCTGTGGGACGAGATGTCAGCAGGGTCAGGAAGGGGAGAGCTGGGGTGAGAGAAGGAGGGCAGCAGTGTTACCCACCTTGGGGCTATGGTGGCGGGGAAGGAGAGGAGCTCTTCACTGCTACCCACCCACCAAACACAACACACCATCCCCCTGCCTGGCGGGACCCTTGTCCCACCCACTGCTGTTCCTGGGTGGTGGGAGATGGGGGTGTCCTGCTCTTCCCACAGTCACACCTGAGGAAGGCTGTAGGCCCTGCGCTGAGCTGGATCATCCCTCCCCTCCCTGTGCCGTGCTCCCTTCGCTTAACTGGCTGCAGTCTTCCTCCCTTGTCCTCCTCCTCCTTCAGATGAAGGCAGTCATCTATCCTTCATCGCCACCTCCATCGCCACCTCCATCGCCATCCACAGGAGAAGATCCCCTCCACCTGCCCGCCCTGGGGTGCTTCCAGCCCCTTGGCCTGCCTAGCCCCAGGGTGCTCAGTCCCCGGCTGTCCTCGTCCCCTTACTTGCGTTGTCCTTGAACAAGTCAGAGCACTTGACGCAGGACTTGGTCAGGAGGTCGAAGCACTGGGAGGAGAGGCAGGAGGAGGCAGCGGTGGCTTTTCCCGATGAGGACATGGCGGAGCGGGAGTGAGAGCCCTGCTCCCACATGGTGTGGTGGCGAAGGGGCCGCCCAAGTGTGAAATTGCAGCGCCCTGAGGCCCGTGGCAGAGGGAGATACAGTCTGTCAAGCTGCGTCGGCTCCCTTGGGGACCGAGACCGCTGCGCTTGCCCCGGGGCGGATCTTCACCAGGGAGGAGGAGAGTGAGCGCCCAAGCCCTACCCCGCCTGCCTGTACAATGCGCCCTCAGACTACCCCTTTCCTCCAAAATATGTCTTTGAAATCCCTGCAGCCCCCAGCGTGCCCCAGCTGCACAGCATCCCATGCCCAGCAGCACGGTGTCCCAGCCCAATGGTGTCACCTCCTTGGCCCTCACCCTTCCCCAGTCCACCCATACATCGCTGCCAGCCCAGGCATGTCCCTCAGGCCATACCTTCCCTTGCTGGCCAGCAAAAAATCCCCGTGGCATCTTCCGGTGCCTACAGGAGGCTTTCCTGTGCCCAGATCTTAACAAGATTCTGTCCTAGAGCCACAAATCTGGCTTTGATGGAAAATGCAGAAAAGGACCAGAGGAGAAAAGTGTGCAAGGGCATGGAGATTTCTCCTTTTAAAAGCTCCCACTGCCCCCTAGCACATGGCCTGTTAGTGATTTCTGCATGGGCAGGCTGACCGGTGTGTGTTCTCCATCCCCACTGATGATGGTGCTCTCTCCATCTTCTCCATTCCAGACCTAGACCTGTGGCAGGGGCCCTCCCAGCCCCTTGGCACCACAGCTCATTCTTTGGGGTTCAGATCTGGCTCTGCTCAGTAACTGCCCAGGGCACGGCAAAGCAGCTCACACCAAGCAAGTTCAGTGCCCATACCCTTGGAAGGGACTAAATAAACCCTTGATGGTCTTAGATGTTCCTGTTCATAAGCAGGAGAAGTCTTCTGCCACCAGTACCCGCAGGTCAAAGCCTGATGCTTGAGATCTGAAGTAAATAAGTGATGGATTTCAATGCTGCAGGTGGCTCTCCTGCCGAACAAAAGTCACATCCCCTTTTCCTTCACCCTCTAGGAAAGAAAGCCACAGTTACTGGCTTGCTCTCAGCTGAGGAAGCAGCTCAGGAGACCTACCCTGGTCAGGAGAGCCCTAATGGGGCTTTACCACTGGATCCTCATCCTTGCAGCAGCCACGGCCTCCAGACTTCTTCTAGTGAGGTCTCTGCCACTTGCAGTGCTGGACTGAGGCTGGTAGGGGAGGAGGAGGAGGAAAGCCAAAGGATGCTTTGGCTCCAGATGACAGAGTACCAGGTGTCCCCAACCAGGCAACCGAGCTCCTCTGAGACTTGGTCCCTGGATGTACCTGCCCCTCTCCAATGACTTTTGGACAAGCTGAGCCCACAGCCTCTACACCCCACCCCCTGAAGCCCCAGGTGAAATGCTGGTGACAGCTCCCCTGCACTGGGTCGCAGCCCAAGCACCAGCACCCCATGCTGCACAGGGCAGGAGCTGCCCTACAGCAGGGCCCCTCCTGGCACCCCTGCCAAGTGTCCCTCCCTGCCAGCAGCATCTCTGGAAGGTGACTTGTACCAGGGCAGTGCTGAAGTGGCCCTAGCACTGCCTCAGCCCTCTCCGCTGAGCGCCGTGGGGCTCTGGGCGAGTGAAAGTCCCGACCAAAACCAGTCACTGCCCACTGGTTCCACGCCTGCCACAATTTCACTTCCCCTTCCAGCCATCGTGCCCAACCACTCGCTCCCTTGCCCTTCGCGCACATGCACACGCGCCAAAATGCCAGGGAGCACCCTGTGCCAGCAGGGATGGCCATGGCAAACCCGGGAGGCTGCGGGCTCCTGCGAGAAGCTGCGAGAACTCGGCTGCCATTCCCATGCCTGTGACTCAGTTATTCCCCCTCTGCCTTAGTCAAAGTAAAACTCCTCGAGCGAGCAGGGGCACGCCAAGCACTTCCCTCTCTTGGCATGGCCCTGTGCTCAGCATCCTCTGCCTCCCTGTGTGTGGGGGAAGGACATCTCTCTGTATCCCACCTCACCCAGCTCCCTCCCTCTCGTGTGTCCCAGGCGAGGCGCAGGGCTATGGTGCAAGCACAGGAGCAGGAGGGGTGCGTGTCTAGAGGCTGGGTGCACCCAGAGCATCTCTGGGGGGTCAGAAGGCCACAGCAGGGAGGGCTGAGGGGTCACAGAAGAAAATCTCAGGGTCGCTCCAGGCCAGTTCTGAGCACTTTCCCCCTGCTCCTCTCCTTCCCTTCTCTCCTCCCTGTTTGGCTCAATGCAGGGTCGGAAATGAGTCCTGGCATCTGGTGTCCCACGTTTACAGATTAACACTGTGACCACTCCGGTCAAATATGCACACTGGGGAAAGCCCAAACCATGGTACCTTACATGTTGCTTCTGATGTGAAGAGCGAGGTTTACCACAGAGCTCAGGAGCTAATGGCTCCCATTTCGGTGCCTGAAGTGAAAAACCTGAAGTTGCAAATGCATGGTGGGGAGCCCAGGGACGGCAACTGTGATGTCTTCCTGCAAATAAATTGCTCCCAGGTCCTGCTACATGGAAGGGTGTTGCAGCTGGATCGCTGTGATTGATCTTACCCTATTCCCCCCCTTTTTCGGAGCCCTTTTTTTTCCCCCCTCTACAGCTTTTCCACGCTCCCTTCCTGGCCCGTCCTCCTCCTCCTTGGGCCAAGCAAATGATGTTTGAATTTACACATGATAGCGCTTACTCATGGAGAAAATCACCGCTGACTTCCCCAGTGGCACTCGCACGTGCTCTTGCTCACCAGTGCGGCCCAGGCTGCCCGGCCAGCTCCAGGCATCAGCCGGCACCCCATCTTTGCCTCCCTTGCCCTTTGTAATGTTGGTTGACTGTTTTGGCAGCAAAAAAATTTAAGGCTTTGTGAGTAGTTTGAACTGTTTGCATCTAAAGAGCTGAATACGCTTGATAATAGCACAAATGCATAATTAAAGAGCAGAAAAAATGACTCACTGGATAAGGAAATGCGCTTTTCTTATCTCCTCTGCAGAGAAATGAAAGCCCCAGGAGCCTGGGACTTGGGCTAACTAAGTGTTTTTATTAAACAAATAAACCAGAAAAGATATCAAACGAGCTATTTAAAAATTATGTCTTCATCCTGGAGTCAGAGAGCTACATTTCCAGTGCTGTTTGCTCCAGCCATGCCCTGGGAGGTCCCGCTTCAGCTGAGGTTGGCGGCTGGGATCCCAGCAAGGGACAGGGCAGCACCAGCGATCCTGGGAGCAGGGAGGGATGGCGGTGTCCTAAAAGTGCTCGTGCACACGTGAGCGCCCGAACTCATGTGTGAGCGGTTCCCCTGGCATCAGGGGTGGGTGAAGTGACTCACGCACGCGCCTGCAGCACCGCCCGCAGCAGAAAATACCCACCGAAAGTTCACCTTGTGCTCGTGAGCAGCGGAAACCCAAAGGCCTGTCAATCAGAGATGCCGTGAGGTGTTTATCGAGCAGACCCAGTCACCTTGGGACAAAGCTCTGACAGGATGCACCCAATGCCCCGGGAACGCCTCACTGCAGCCTGACAGCTGCCTTGTGTCCAGATGGTGCCGCTGGAAGGCTTTGGCTGGAGCCAAACCCCAAAATGTTTGGCACCTCACCCCTGCACCTCTTCCTGGTGCCTCTGTGAGAAGCACCCGCTCCTGAAAGGTCCCGCTATGGTCCTCAGAAGCCAGTTTCTCGACTCCAGCACAAACATTCTCCTTGGGATCCACTGGGATGCCCCAGCTCTCTCTTTGCTCTCCCTTTGCAAAGCCAGCCAGGCTTAGGGCCAAAATCTGGGAAGATTTTAGGTATAAGGTGAGAAAATGGAGGTTTCAGGAGATTCACCAACACCCTAAACCCAGAGCCCTCCATAAGCACTCTGTTTCTTACCAACTATTTTTGTGGCACTGCTCAGCCACCTGCATGAGGACTTTGGTGTGGGGCAGTGCCCTGGTGGCACCAGCTCTGCTGAAGATTGTTTGTCTCCTTCTCTTCTTGTTTAAAAGCCCCTGGAGCTGCGAATGTCCACGAGGTTAAGGGAAAAACAAGCAGGTGTCCTTGGCTCCCCCTGCAAGGGGACCTGGACCCTCCAGGGGTGATGCTAAGCACCCAAATTAGGCTTCTACAGTGGACTGTTCCCCTTCCAGGAGCAGGCTGTGGCAGGGAGCGAGGGGTGTTTCCAGCTGGTGCGCTGGCTGCTCTTGCTGCTCTGCAGAGTGTGGGGGGCTCTTTTAGCAAAGTTTGGGTTCCCAGACACTGCCTGGGCTCCCACAGGTCCCCTTGTGTCATGAGCAATGCACCATTAGCTGAGCCTGGCTCTTCTGGCCTAAGGATGGGTGGGAGCTCATGCTGACCACCTTCAGTAGGGGGAGGCCATGTGGCCCCCCCAGTTTTGCCTGTGGATGGTTAGGGAGCATTCACGTGCCCTGGCAGAGCCAGATAGCACCTCCAGCACTGAAACAGAAACAAATGGCACTACAAACGTCCAAGCAGATGGGTTCAGTTGGTTCAGGCATGCATACGCCAGGGCAGAAACCTCCCTGGCACACCAGGTTGAGTGAGAAACCTCCCGGGCACTTGCAGCAGGAGCCCCTGTTGCCTGCTGCACTCTTGAAGCACAGAGGTCTCCAGGAGACAGATCCAGAGACAAAAATCAAAGCCCACTGAAGGCGAAGGCCTGTCTCCCTTTGAGCCCTTCGCAGCCTGCTCCAGCAGCAAGGGACAGGAAACCGGTTGGGTCAGCCTGGAAGTCAAAACTAAACTGAGCAGCCCCCATTGCATTTTGCATAGTGCTTTGTTATAATGAACTGCTCACAGCTCATGTGTGGGAATGGTTTGGTGAATACATCTGACCCAAAAGGCAACCTGAGGATATAGGAAGGTGCTTGAAAGCAATTCTAACAAAGAAGAAATTATGTTTGCCCTGATTGTACTAGTTTTTTTGTGATTTACTCTGCTGCCTGTCATCCAAACACCCATCTTCCTCCCACACCAGTAACACCCCACTGCCCT